AGAGCAGTGTTTAAGATGGCTGATTGCTCTACATCATTGCAAACCAGGGCTACTATAATTATTTGAATATTTTTCATGTGTTTGATAGAGCTCATAAAATCTTGATATTTGATATCAGTAGTTCCTAAGAAAATATCTTTAGGATGATTCGGAACTCCTTATTTAACAGCATTAAAAACACTATTATTGGAGGTAGAACAAAGTGACAGAAAAATTTTTATACTTTGTTTCCTGCAAATTCAGTGGCTACCTAAAATAATAGGTATAGAAACATGAACTTCATCTTTACAAAGGAAGAATGAAATCACTTTTGCCAATCACTTATCAAAACAAATGGGAGTTGGATTCTTAGACTCTTCATGAGAATCCTATGAAGATTTCAGAAACAAAGAAGCAATAATTTCACTAAGCAAGCAAATAATAAACTACAAAAGTTGTTTTTAAATACATAAGGCAGTTATCAATTCTCAGTCACCATTTATTGGATACTGAGTTTATAAAAGGAATTTGATGAATATACATTATAAAATGGTCTCTTTAAGTACCATGTTTTTGAGCATCAAATTCATTACAAGAGTGTTAAGTTAGTGCCATTAGAACTTTATTCTTTTTTTTTTTCTTTTTAATTGAGATGAATTCTCGTTCTGTTGCCCAGGCTGGAGTGCCGTAGTGGGATCTCGGCCCATTGCCAACCTCTGCTGCCTGGGTTCAAGTGATTCTCGTGCCTCAGCCTCCAGAGTAGGTGGGATTACAGGTGCCTGCCACCATGCTTGGCTAATTTTTTGTATTTTTAGTAAAGACGAGGTTTTACCATGTTGGCCAGGCTGTTTTCGAACTCCTGACCTCAGGTGATCTGCTTATCTTGACCTCCCAAAGTACTGGGATTACAGGAATGAGCCACAGTGCCTGGCCTATTCTTTTTGTTTTCAAAAACATATTCATGTAATAAATATTAAGTTGTATTTGGCACATAGTACAGTTTTGGATAAAAAGCTCTTATCAGTAGTGAACTTGCCACAGGAAACACATTTACAATAATCGAAGCTTTTGCTGTAGTACTTGACTTACTGTTTATATTTAAGGATATTTATCATTTAAAGGCCTGACTTGACTCATTGGAAATTTTGTTCAATAATCATATTCTCAGGGCTAAAAAGAATAAAAAGAATTCAGCACACAATTTATTCCTGCACAGATGACAAAGCATTTTACTGCTAAAGAGAAATGCTATTTAAACATTGTGACATTTATTTTATTAGGTACTCAAGTTTACACTGTACATGTGATGGATTTAAAAGATACAGAGCTTAAACCCACAAATAGTATTTTGTGGTCTAAGCCACCTCCAGACTAGAGTTATTTGTGGTTCAAAATATGCAAAGTAGCTTTTTAAGGCAGTTTAAAACTTTCAATGTTAATAATGTTGATAACAGTTTTAACAAACATAAAACATTATTAAGAAAGAAAATTCAATCCACATCTCGGTAGGAACAAAATGTGTTGGGGTAAGTAAAACAAAGCCAAGTGGTTCCTTGTAGCTGACCATCTTTGAAAACTGGAAGCGACGTCAGAAAAGTCATGAACACAGTAAGTATAAGACAAAGTTAGGTTTACAGAATTAAATACTTTTTGGATATTCACGTTGCGAATCCACTATAGGCTGATGGCCCCCGGGTACTGGCTGGCTGGTAGAGTTAACTGTATGTGAGGCCCAAGAGCTTCCTCTTATACTCATATTCAGTTCAAGTACACTTCTGTGCTCACATGTTAGGCCATGCCCTCAGCCATTTCCATTTTTTGTGTCAAAATAAACAAAAGTAGGATCTGACTTACATTTGTAAGGGTTCTCCAACTGGATGAGACATTGTGTATGAAGTGCTTGGCAAATAGAAAGAGCCCAATAAATATTAGCTTTTCAAAATTGTTAGGTTTTTTTGTTTTCTGTACTTGCAGTGGATGGAACCCAGAAATAGCAGTGAAAGCTGTGGTTGCTTCCAACCTGGGAGGCCTCTTTATAACTATTTTATTCCCATTTTTGAGCGGACAGAGTTGTACTGTGTTCTGCTGTGCAGGATGAAAATAAAGTTGGAGCTAACTGTAATTTTGCCATGCTCCCTTTGTACTGTTTTAAACTCACTTTAACATTAGCAATCTTGGATAGACTTCCTACATTTTTTATCAGAATTGCAGTAAACATACCTCTTCTACATGCTTTTCATGAAGGGAAGAGGAAAGAAAGGAAGGAGCATAAACTACTTTTCAAACTGTATAAGAAGACAGCTCCCTGCTGGATACATATTTTATGTAAATTCACAACAGTAACAAAAGCGCAGACACTGGATCTTCATAATCCAAAACAAAGTTCTGCAGACCATGTAGAAAGCCCTAGGTTAGTCTCTTTACACAGTCTCTATTCCAAAAACTAGAGAGCATTTCCTTTCCCGGGGGTCACTGACATACGGGGTGGGGGGGGAATAAAGGATCATAAAAATAAGTTAAAAGCAACTTAATTTGGCTATTACTGGATAATTTTTAAAAGTCACAGTAAAAAGTGAAAATTAGCTCAATTAAAAATTAACAGGATAACCCAAAACTTTATTCAATATGCCCAATGATGGAATTATTTTAAATTGTACTTCAGTTCTAGTATGGACAGTAATGGGGCAGGAAGAAGGATTAGGGAGGGCAAGTGAGAAACCTGAAGAAAGACCAAGACAAAACACCAACACAGGGCACAGGATTTGTGGCTTTTTTTTTTTTTTTAACCTATTTTGTAACATCCTGTCACAATACTTCCTTTGCACTATGTTCTTTCAGGAATAACACCTTTTAAAAAATGTTATTCTTCATAATTTAACTCTTATCCCTTGAATTTCTTACTGGGGTCTACTGCTTTCCAACTTTCCTTTTTCTTTGTTTTCTTTTTTTAAGAGACAGGGTCTGGCTCTGTCACCTCGGCTGGAGTGCAGTGGCCAGATCATAGCTCACTGTAGCCTCAAATTTCTGGGCTCAAGTGATCCTCTAGCCTAGGCCTTTCTAAGACTACGGGTGTGTGTTACCACACCAGACTTATTTTTTTTTATAGTGACTGAGTCTCACTATGTTGCCCAGGCTGGTCTCAAACTCCTGGCTTCAAGGATCCTCCTGCCTCGGCCTCCCAAAGCTCTGGGATTATAGGCATGAATCACCATGCCCAGCCCAACTTTCCAGGATAATGAAAATATTCTGTATCTATGCTATATCACACAGTACTTACATGACCACTGAGCACTTAAAATCAATATAGCAATGAAATTTTTAAACTTACTTAATTTTAACGAAATTAGTTACATGAGGCCACCTTACTGGACAGTGCAGGTCTAAGGGAAATTTACAATGGAAAGGAAATTGGTCTCAAAGACAATATGTAGACAAATAAACACAGATGAAATTAAACCACAGAGTGAACTTCAGCTTTTGAGCTGGATTTTCTCCCATCCTTAAAGTGTTGCCTTTCCTTGTCATATACACAAAGTACTCAATAAATAGTATTACTGCTGATAGTAATACTACTAGCAAAAGTAGCCTCAGAACAGAGTGATCTTGCATTAGTTGTGCAAATTCCTGTCCCAGATAGGTATCGGTTTTGGTGTCCTATATCCAAACTTCCATTATTACAAAATGAGAGCAGTCCTACCTTCACTGTCCCTCAGATAAATATGATGAGGATGAATAGCTCTGAGTTCTTTCTGCTTCTCATAAGCATTTTGTAGGTGAACACTTGGTTGACTGTCCTCTAGGCCCCTTAATCCTTTTCTTCCTTCAGTTATTGCTTATTTTTTTCCCAGATAAGTAATCCTCTTTGAGGGAGTGGAAACAGAAAATCAAGGGTAGGCATTGGGGCAAAAATATCACTCAGGTCAAGTGTACAAGATAGGCCTGTCTCCTAGACTTTTTAGTGCCGAGGAACAAGGCACTAAAGTGTTCAATACTTCATGGTGTCATTAATAGCTATCAATAATCAGTTTAACTGGTGTACCAGTACTGTTCTTGATCATTTAATCACTTCTCTAGGTTCAATTAATTTTCTTTGTATTTACCTGATCTTATTTTATCAATACTAAACCAGTCTTTGTCTGCTCTTTGTCTGCTAGACAGCCATTAGCATTTTCTTTGGTTCTTGAAAGAGCTGTACTTGGACCTTATATAATCCTCAGAAAGGCAAGATCTGAACTACGAACGAGTCACCTGCTGATTATACCAATGGCTGCTCCTGCCTTCATCAGTCACAGAGTATCACCCTATCTCAGTAAGCTGCTCTGCTTGTCGCGTAGTAGATCGATAAATACTTGTTTTATGAATGAATGCATGAATAAAGGGAAGTTAGTCACGTGTAAGGGTGAGCAGCCTGCAATAAATAAAGTGTAGACTAGGAGGTCTCAAAATACTTTTTGAACTAAGCCCTGACTCTTCACTACTTTGGACTAGAATGGAAATGTCACCAAAGCCTTCCCAATTAATTTGCCCTCGCTGCAACGACTGAGACCAGAACTTCCCATGACCTCTACAGGCACCTCCACAGGCATCTCTTTTTCCTCCGCTCAAGAACAGTAACTGCTCACTGCTGTGTCGGCCACACAGGCCCAGAGCCTGGGGTGAGAGGTAGGGCTGTAGGCCCCCGACTCCTGGCAGTGCCTCTCTCCATCCCCCCCACCCGCGCGAGGCTGGGACGGCTCCCTCCATGCCAGCAGCCGTTATCAAGCCCCCTCACCCGCCTCATCCCTCGATCCCCTTCTCTCCCTCCCTCTCACAACACTCCGCCTAAGATTAGCCCAGCTTTCCCAGCCCCAGCCTTCCTAGCCCCGCCACCAGTTTTCCCACTTCCGCCCGGTGCGTGAGGCCCTGGGCGGTGCACGGAAGCGTTGACGACTGGCGTGGGCCGTGACGTCACCGCGCCCTGACGTCAAGCCGACGGGTGGCACCGTCGTCCGGGAGATCGGGAAAGCCATTTCACACCCGTTGTAGTCAAAGTCGAGGTGAGAGACGATGGTTTTCCTCAGCCTGTGATGACACAGTCTGCCGAAATGCAGTTCCCGAGTGGAGGCGTGCTCGCACCCGGGAGACGGCCAGAAAGCTGAGCCGCGGCGCCCCAGCGAGGGCGCGAGGCGTTGGGCCTGGACTCCGTCGCCACGCTCCTCTGCGGCCCCTTCTTGGCCTCCGCCAGCCCGCGGGGCCAAGGCTCGGTCCCCCTTCCTCCTAGTCCCGGGGAACGCGCGGCTCTGCCTCCTAACCCCCGCACTCTCCTCCTCACGGCAGCTCCAGGGTAACGGGGTTAGAAAGGGACAAATTTGAAGGCCGTTACAGCAGTTTTGTCTGGCCTTACGGTTGGTTTCTGTGTGGAAGATCCCGCCGCTTCAGGGAAGTCTTAGGACGTGAACTCCCGTCTTCTGCCCCTGACCTGCTCGTTGGGGGTGATTCACCCCAAGGGAATGGTTCTTTACGTAAGGCTTGAAAGCTGAACGTCAGTTAATGGCCTAACGTGACACTAGTGTGAGAAAGGGAATTGGAAATGAACAAGGACGTGTCTGCATTTTTAAAAATGTCTTTTCAGTAATCTTGTTAGAAAGCAGGTTCACAAACACGCACATAGCCGCAGCTACATCACTGCACTTCTTACCAAAGGGCAGTCCACACACATGTAATGAGAAAGAATTAAAGGGACTTGTTTGATGACACACTCAAAACTAAGACTAAATTTAAAAATCACGAATTTTCCTTGTTGCCAGAATTTTCCCTGTTGCCTTCTTTTTCTTGAGAAACTTAGTGTTTGTGAATGCTTCCTCTATTTAATATGTATGCAAATCTTTTTAAAGACCGAGGAAGGCTTTTCTTGAGGGGCTGGAAGCCATTTCTTTTAAAATGTAAACATCAAAGAAGATAGGGCCCCAATCTCCTTGTCACTTTGGAAGTTTAACCTAGATGCATTATTCCTAATTGTAAACACCTGCTTTGTTACAGAGCTATGCATTGGGAGGAAAACCGTTAGCTAACACAGGTGGTTACCCCAATTACCACGTGAATTAAAGAGGAAATATAAAAGAATGTATAGAACACTATATTAAGCCCTCTTATATGAGGACTAGTTACCAATTTTCTTGAGAATGTGTGTGTGTAATGGATTGTGTTTCCTTGACTGTATAAAGAAAAGTGGGATTTCCTTCTTTGTAACCTCATTAGTAGATTAGCTATGATGTTCATCAAAGTCTAGTTGAATGCCTCATTACTAATAAAATTGTCTTTCTGCATTGTGGAGCATTTTCTGGGTTGGCAGGATATTTTGTTTTTAATTTTCCCCCAATAATCAGAACCTACCAGTTCCTCACCTTCTTATGGTGAGGCCATCAAGTTGGAATAGATTCACACACAATGTAGACGCTAAACAAAAACTGTTCTGCTGGTGCTTTGTTTATATTGTCATTTAGATCTGCGCTCTCAGATAATTTTACGGGTGAAACATTAAAAGGATGTTTACCTGGTAATTTTTTGGAAAACTCTACTCCCAATAGAGTTGAAGTTACTGTTTTATTTTACTGATGACAGTTCCACCGTTAAATGACAGAAATGAGAATAATGAGCCTTCTGGGCTCTTGCCACATGATTATGATGATCTGCTAAACATAAGATTACGTTTGAGCCTATGTTGGCATGGTTAATGGTACCTCTGTTGCAGACCTCAGTTAACTTTACCACACATGTCATATTATGTTTTATGTGGGGAGACATAAAGCTCATTAGTTTTTGGTTTTGAACAGCAACTCACTGAAATGAGTCTCGGTGCTAACGCAGGGGACGAGGAATCTCCTCTTCTACCAGTGGTTGCACCATTTTCAAAAATAATGCCACGATAGGACTTTTTGTCAACTACAGTTTTCCTGCTACCTTGCTGTATGGCTGGGGTTGCTCTCTCTGATAAAGTACTTGGCTTCTCCAGTCTCTCTTGTCAAAATCTTGCCCTGACTAAATGTAAAAAACCTCAGGAAGCCTTCACTAACTCCCAACTCCCATCTGAAACATAAGATATTTTTCTTTCTTGATCGTCGTAGTCATGTGGCAAGAGACTGCTCTTGTCCTTAACTCATGGTCCTCAAACCTTTTTCCCTGCTATGGAATTGTGCCTGCATTACCTGACTTCACTGCCATTGCCTTCCCCCTTCCCCTGACTCCTTAGATATGTATAAACAGCCTTCACTCATGAAACTAGACTGTTTCCATATTTGGGAAGGATTAAAAAAAGGAACCCAAAATGCTCCTCCATTTATCCTTTGTGGCTTTATGAAAGTAGTGACTGACTTTTACATTGAGTGGTTTTTATTAGAAAAAGAAAATCTGTTAAAAGTAAAACATCTGCATAAAATTAAGTAAATGTCCATCTTAGATAAAATTGGCACTTGGCTTCTTCTGTTTTGACCACTTTTCTATTCAGTGCCTGCATATCATATTTAATCTGGTAACTCTAAATGTTCTTTTTCTGTGCTTCATTATTTAATCCAGCATTCATGCCACAATTGCTTTTTTCATCTGCTGAACTAAAATACTATGTTTTATACTTTTTCTAGTGGCATTTCAGAAAAATTGGTTTTAAAAATATCCCGAAATAAATATGTATTTAAAATTTTAGTTATTATGTATTTGAAAAATAGTAGTAAATCACAACAAAAATTACTATTAAACTTTAAAGTTCTGACAAAAGAGAAAATATTTCTAACTTAGCAGTCTCTATAGTTCTCTCCCGTTTTATTGGCCCAATAACTAATGGAGAAAACCCTAATTGTACCTTCTAACATTGAGCTGATGAAATAAGCATCTATTGAAACAGTTATCACCATTCATCCCCAAATACTTCTAAGAATTTATAAAGCATCTGAATTTGAATGTTCTCTACATTATTTCTGTTCTGACTGTTGTCATCAATGTTCTTAGATTTTTTTTTTTTTTTTTCTTCAAAGCTCGCTCACTGTATTTGGGGAAATTATGGATCGTCATACTCCCATGCATGCTTTGCCTGAAGAAATCCAGAAGGTATGATATATTGTGTTGCTACAGCCTAACAGTGGGAGCATTTAGCAGTTAGATAATTCTAAAACCTAGAGGAGTTAATTCATTAATTTTGGTCATAGGATCTGAATGAATTGGTGGAATGGGAGAGGTAATAATTATAATCATAGTGAGCAGAATTGTAGAATTCAATTCTGTACAAAGAATTTTGCTGATATGGAAGAAGACGTATATCTAATTCCAGTACAATATTTGACCAGGTGGTTGTGAAGCCCTAGTGAAAAGAAGGGCCATGTGTAAGTTTTTATGGTGCTAGATTTCTAAGCCTCTATTATAGTTTCACCTACGTTACACACATGTCAGAAATGTTCATGTGTGTAAGTTTTTAGGGTTCTGAATTTCTAAGCCTCTATTACAATTTCACCTGCATTAATTCTCAGTACTTACTCTTTGCCAAGCACTGTTTTAAACCTGTTTTATGCAGTTGACCATTGAACAACATGGGATTAAATTGTGTGGGTCCACTTATATGTGGGTTTTAAAAATAAATATATTGGAAAATATTTTGAAGTTCTGCAGTGGTTTGAAAAAACTCACAGACGAACTAAGTAGCCTGGAAATGTTGAAAAAATTAAGGAAAAGGCATGTCATGAATGTATAAAATGTATGTAGATACTAGTCTATCATTTATTACCATAAAATATGCATAAATCTATTACAAAGAGTTAAAATTTATCAAAACTTATGCACACAGACACTTAACAGTCACCATGGTGCTATTTGCAGTCAAGATATGTAAATAAACACAATGATGCAGTATTAAATTGTAACTACATAAAATTAACTATAGTATATACTAATGTAATAATTTTGTAGCCACCTCCTGTTGTTTTCGCAGTGAACTCAAGTGTTGTGATTATCTGCTTAAAACACTGTTTGACAATCATAGCCATGTGAGCAGTTCCTCCCTTCAGGAAAAAGTGATCTTGAAGTCCTCATGTATTTTTTATCATGTTTAGTGCAATTTCATAAGCCTTGGATAACACCAGAGGACACATTTAGCATGGCACTACTGATGCTGGAAGTACTTTCAAGAAGCAGAGAAAAGTCATGACATTAAAAAGAAAAAGTTGAATTGCTTGCTATGTGTATATGTGTGTGTGTGTGTGTGTGTGTGTGTGTGTGTGTATATATATAAATATATATATGGAGGGGGAAATTGTGATGTTGTAGCTACAGATATGCCAACAGGTGCAAAAGTCTTGTACTTCTTGTAAAATCTCTTACAATGAAAATATAGCTTTTATGTGAGTATAGAATTGCTATAAGAAAGACATACCTATAGACTAATATGATTCAAGGAAAAGCAAAATCATTCCACAGAGTGAGCAGAGAGTGATGAAAAGTCTGGGTTGTTAGTGTTTGGAGGCAATGTGGAGGCTGGAAATGGAGTAGGAAATCTAGGATACAGCCAGGTGTTGGAGGATCTTAGATGCTGTCAGAAGGAGTTTGGATTTTAAGCCACAGAGAGAGAGGGAAAAAAAAGCAAAATCATTATATGGAAACTTAAAAAAAGAAAAGATGAAAGATCTAAAGCTGGATAGTTTAATGCCAGCAAAGGATGGTTTGATAATTTTTGAAAGAGGCTTGGCTTAAAAATGAAGTCAAGATAACAGGAGAAGGCTCTTTTGCTGACCAAGAGGCAGCAGACAAGAAGCAGCAGACAAGTTGTCACTGGAGAATAAAGGGGGTTTTGGTTTCTTTTTTTATTTTTATTTTTTGTTTGTTTTTGCAGTAAAGAAAGTTTAATTGATATGAGGCCACTCTGGCATGTGACAGATGGAGTTATTACTGAAATCAATCTCTGACAATTTGCAGGGTAGGGATTTTCAAGGATAGTTTGGCAGACAGGGGGCTAGGACATGGGAGCTGCTGATTGATTGGGGATGGAGTAATAGGGGTGTAGAAAATGGTCCCCGTGTGAAACGGAGTCCAGGTGGGACATCAGTCATCAGAAATGAGAAAGCCTGAAAAAACGCCTCAAAAGGCCAATTGTAGGTTCTATGATAGTGATGTTAATTACCTGAGTAATTAGGGAAGCTGCAATCCACTGGAATAATGGCTCATAGTCATTTACACCTACATCTTAGGAGAATTCAGACCCCTCTCATCCTCCTAACGTGCTGGCTTTTATTAGTTTTACAAAAACGATTTAGTTTGTTCTCATGCTGCTAATAAAAACATACCTGAGACTGGGTAATTTATAAAGGAAAGAGGTTTAATTGATTCACAGTTCCACATGGCTGGGGAGGCCTCATAATCATGGCAGAAGAGCAAGGAACATCTTACATGAAAGCTTGTGCAGGGGAATTCCCCTTTATAAAACCATCAGATTTCATGAGACTTATTCACTATCATGAGAACAGCATGATAAAATATATGTAGATACTAGTCTATTTTATCATTTACCATGATTCAGTTACCTCCCACTGGGTCCCGCCCATGATGTGGGAATTGTGGGAACTACAGCTCAAGATGAGATTTGGGTGGGGGCACAGCCAAACCATATCAAATGACCAAGGGCAGTTTGGAGGTTAAAGGCAAGACTGAGTTGGTTAGGTCAGAATTTTCTCACTGTTACAGTTTTTGCAAAGGCAGTTTCAGTCACCCTCCTTTGGGTTTCATCATACTTTATTCTTAATCGGTGGGCTATGGAGATGGAAAAAGGTTGACAGCCACTCTAACTTCTTCCTGCTCATAGGGGCAGAGTTGGGCTGGGAGTTGCCCTCAGGATAAGAAGAGTGAAACCGTCTTGTAATTGTTGATATGTATTCATGTGTACCAGATTGAGGTTCCAAGGTCTGCATAACAAAACATTGGTGCTCTTAATCCACAGATTTCATATAGCACTGAAGTGAACAGGTGGATGATAAGACAAATAACCCCAACATAAGGAGGGAAAGTCTTCACTTCAGAAATCCCTGTAGAACTGATCTGAAGCCTTAAGGGATGCAGTTGAATGACCCCAAGAATCAATCAATCAGATATGGGGTCATTAGCAGAGACACAAACACAGTGGACAAGGCTGGAATCTAATAACAGTTGTACTGCAAGTTTTCCTGAAACAATTTTTCTTTCTCTAGTTCCCCATTTCTACCAAACACAAATCATAGTAGGACCAATTTATTTGCAGAATAAGTTCCAGTCCCATTATATTTGGTGTGATTATTTGCATAAAATACAGCAAGAATAGTTATTTGCCACATAGGTTTCTTTAAAAAAAAATTGGCTTTGCTGGAATTTATTTCATAAGGAGTCCCAGATTAGACCTTTTAACAGTCTCTAGCTCAGCCAGGGATTCATCTGTGCCTGCAGCCACCTGTATGAATTGGGTGAATTTCTGTTTTCTTGAGAACCCACTATAACTCGTGGTTCCTTGTCTGTCAGAAAGTGACACACTTTACTTACTACAGGTTAAGAGCCCTGGAAAGGACAAAGTATGAGACCAGTATTTCCAAGGGGCTGTTATCAGCTCTATAAGTCAATCTCAGTTGCTCAAAGCAGCCTGAAACCATGCCATTTCCAGTCACATAATCAGTGCCTCCAATTGTATCCTGTTGCAAACAAAACAAAACAAAAAAAACAAAAAAACAGATTTTTTTTTTTTAATATTATTGCCATAAGCTAAGAATACTTAACAATTAGTTTCAAAATTCTGGAGAAATCAAGTAGATAGAAATATGCTCCAAAGTTTGCTGATTAGAAATATGCTTCACTCAATTGTTAAAAGCTATAAACAGCTCAAAAGAAAAGTTGATTTTTTGACCCTGAAAAACAAAAAGGATCAGAAACATTTAAAGTAAATAGTCATAGAAAGATTATTTCATTATTCTCTTAGTTCATCTCATACAGTTAATTCCTGTTCTGTTTGATCAGCTGTTCCTGAGAGTCCTAGAAGTGTTTCTTTATATATTAATGGCACAATCTTTAAAGATATCAGAAATCTGCATTCAAGAGCACCTGTCAGAGTCCCATAACTGATTATAAAATCACCCTTTGAAATTAATTGAAGTAAAAATAATTGTGAATGGGCCGGGCGCGGTGGCTCACGCCTGTAATCCCAGCACTTTGGGAGGCCAAGGCGGGTGGATCACGAGGTCAAGAGATCGAGACCATCCTGGTCAACACGGTGAAACCCAGTCTCTACTAAAACTGCAAAAAATTAGCTGGGCATGGTGGCACGTGCCTGTAATCCCAGCTACTCAGGAGGCTGAGGCAGGAGAATTGCCTGAACCCAGGAGGCGGAGGTTGCGGTGAGCCGAGATCGCGCCATTGCACTCCAGCCTGGGTAACAAGAGCAAAACTCCGTCTCAAAAAAAAAAAAAATAATAATAATAATAATAATAATCGTGAATAACAAGAGGCTTAGACCAGCTGTGATTTAAGACTCAATTAACAAGGAAATTGGGTTATTTTTGTGGTATGCAATTTAATATAACAATTATTATTACTGATAACATATACTAAATAATATTGGAGTTACAGGAATCTTGCACAATTCTGGAATACATACTAACAACACATTCATATAAATAAAAGCCAAAGAAAGCCAAATACCAATTCATACTTGACAGTGCTCACTCTGTGATTTCAGCATGCCAAATAAGCCAGATGTCTCATTTAGACTTCAGGGGACCTAACATTTAAATAATTAATGAAGCCTAAAGGACTGAATTTAGAACTCGAGATTTTGATTTTGGAAGGTTTGTCAAATATCAAAGGTTTAGAACACTTACTGAGACCTTGGTACCACCTCTGTTTCTCCTAAGGAATGCCGGGTTGTCAGAAATTACATTAGGTTCTCTCATGTAGACATTGAGGATGGCAAAAAGAAGTAAATGGAGAAACAATCCAGCCAACCAAGAAGAAAAAAATCATTTTTCTCAAAAAAACAAGATCCAAGAAGAGAAAAAGCATAAAATATATGTATAGTGTGGATTATCAACTTTTAATTAATCCAACTTTTAACCATAGAGCTTTGTTAAATCCTTTTAAATCTTTTATTACTACACTCTGACAAACAGCCTCTAGCTTTGAAACTTTTTTCCCCTCAATGTCTTCTCCTAAGTGAAGCCAGTAAGTCTGTAACTAAGCTTGTGACTTATCCATGGATGCATGTGGTATCTCCAAAGAGATGGCAAGCATTTTTACAGTATCTAGAGTAGCCCCTGAGGTAGCTCAGAGAAAAGAAAATTCAAGACAGGAAATCAGAAGCTGTCTATGGAGAAGAAAAGAATAAAAAAATGGCAAAAGTACCACAAGTATCCAAACAGAAAGGACTCATTCTCAAAGCCAGCTATTGAACCCAGACTGCTGCTGTAAAAGGGTAAAACCTTAGCTACTGAGCTATAGCATAGGGCAGCTGCCACTGCTCTTCCCAGAAGGAGTCTGGGACACTCATTTTCAAGCTTGCAAAGGATTATAACTGCTCAAGAGAATTTCTTGAAGCTACTTATGACATTATTCATCCTTTCTAAAAACTTTTTTTTTCAATTGTGGAGAATAAAAGATTTCTAAAATTCCTTTAAAAAGTCGTATACTTAGTTTCAATAGTGACATAATCTGAGTCTTTTAAAAGCCCAGATGTTAATGTTCCAGGATTTTATCATATAAGGAAGAGATACTCTTAGGGAATAGAGGAGACATTTCCATGGTCCCCAAGAATTCAGAATGGAGAGCTCAGAAATGGGCTTAAGATAACAAAAGATGATGAAAGCCCAGTAGAAATGGGATCTTTAAAGACAAAACTCACCCAAAGGCTTGACACATTGGGGATGAAGAATGTCCTGACTCATCTCAGATACCTGGTCCTCTCAGACTGGCTGCCTGACATGAACCCCAAAATTCCTGCCTTTTGGATGGTGGAGACTGAGAGTGTCCCTCTACATGGTCATAAAGTCAAACTCCCAAGGACAAAACAAGATGAGAGGGAAACCTCATCCAGTTTTTGTTTCAGGGACCCACAGCAAAGTTCGTAACTGACCAGCCTACAGGGCCAGCTTGAGCAGTGGGCTTGTAGGGATCCTAGGCCCTTATTCTGTCCTATGGTGCACCTCTCCATGACAGAAGACACATAAAGATAAAAACTGAGAGGAAAGGAGTCAAACAATATGAATATTCATAGCACAAAGTACACCAGATTTGCTGTAACCTCAGACTATCACACAAATCCTTTTCCCCATTAATCAGACCTTGCAAAGGAGACAGTGATTTTTACCATTGACTCAAAACAGTTTGCCCAGAGGGAGGCCAGCAAGTTCTTACCCTTTTGCCAGTATGCCAGGTTTCCAGGGTTGTGGAATCATAGTCAAAAGCCTCTCAGTTTTGCAAGATGTAGTCACGCTACATGGGGGAACCAAAATGACATTTTTTATTCCAGACAGAGGAAAATACACATGACAAAACACAGACACCAGTCACCTCACTTAGCCTCCAAGTATTGACCTGGCAAGGCTTAAACTTGCCTCTGTTGGCCCGTGTTGTTTTTGATCTACTCAAAGTGAGGTGGGATGGTTTCCAAACTGGAGTTTCAACGGGTGATCTCTGAGCAACTTGGAAGAGTGGATAGTCACCCTGAGTTAGACCTGTGGAACTTTCTTCATGGCTCACAGAATGTGACCAACCAGACAAACTAGTAGAGCCTCCTGGACTTTCATCAGCAATTTATTTAGGGAATTCTCTCCATATGTACAAATACACACAATGAGATAAAGACAAACAAAATGGCCTTCCAAACCAAGATTCCTAACCAAAAATTTCCAGGAGTAATTCTTCCAGACTTACCTCTTATTCTCTAACTGAGGAGAAATCTTTTCAAACCCAGATTCTTCCTGCTATTTTGAGAGAGCCAGCTAATAGCTGCAAAGGAGCCAAACCGACAGGATTGAAGGAGCAGAGCCAAGAACTCCCATGGAGCCAAACCAATTGGGAGAAGGAATAAGGTGTTGGCCATGTTTAGAATATTCATGAGACCAGTTTAAAGATGTCTTTCTAGGAAGGATGTCTTTCTCCACTGCAATTAGGCCCAAGTACTGTGGGTCAACAGCACCTCACTGACTAAGGACAGCACCAGACATGGCTTTCAGTTCCAGAGAAATAAGCAGCTGCCAGAGCTCACCTCCAGTTCCATCATACTGGTGGGGGCTGACAAACTGCAGGCAGGCACCCACAAAGGCAGATACCAGAACCCCCAAATTAATAATAGTTCAACGGGTTCTTCCTGGCTGCCAGACAGATGAAATCAAGCCTCTGAGACCATGGCATTGCAGTAGAGAGAGAGTTTAATGGAAACAAGGATGGCCATGCCACACAGAAGATGGAGTTATTACTCAAATCAATCTCCTAAACAGGTTTTGAATGCAAACAAAAGTGCCCTGTTTGCATTTCCTGTTCTGGAAAAAAGTGACACAAAATACATTGTTGAGGAAGAGAAGTGAGCACCAGGATTTAAAGAAGGAAGGGATAGGCTAACTGTATTGTTTTGCCCAAATGTAGTCAGGTTTATGATCAGGACTACCCTTATCTATAAAACTGCTAATCTCCAGCCTTGATGGGAAAAGATAAACATCAGCCATCAGTCTTTTGATTGTATAACACAAAGGCTTGGACAAGGAGAATGCTTTTTCTTGATTGATTCCATCAGTGCTTTTTCCCTGAAGTCAGGAAGAACCTTAACATTACTCCATCGATAGGGCTGTCAATGCTATGGAAGAGAACCCTGGTGGAATATCGTGTAAGTCTTGAAAGATCACACCATTGAAGATGCCATCATTATTATAGAAAAAGCCATGAAAGTCAGCATGCCTAAAACAAGAGATTCCTTCTAGAGAAAACTGTCCAGGTGTTGTGCATGACTTCGTAGGATTTACAATGGAGCCAATCAAGGAAATTATGAAAGAGATTGTGGATATGGCAAAAAGGTTGGAGGTGAAGAGTTTCAAGATACAAATCTTGGAGAAATTCAGGAGCTAATAGACACCACACAAGAGGGGTTAGCAGAGGACAACATGGAGATGACTTTTTTCTGAATCAGTACAGGCAATGAGAAAGAAGACATAGTAGAAGCAGTGCCAGAAAACAAATTGACACCAGATAATATGGCAGAAATGTTTCAATTATTCAAAACTGCTTTTGACTTCTTTTATAACATGAATCTTTCTATAATATGGGCACTGACACTAAAGCAAACATTAGAGCAGGATTGGAACCGTATGGAAACATTTTTAGAGAAATGAAAAAGCAAAAGAGTTTGACAGAAATTGTGACATATTTCCTCAAAGTTACTCCAAGTGTGCCAGTCTTTTCTGCCTCCCCATCCACTTTCTCCATTTCTGTCACGCCTGAGACAGCAACACCAACCCCTCCTCATCCTTTTCCTCCTTAGCCTGCTCAATGTGAAGATGAGGATGAAGACATTTATGATGATCCACTTCCATTTAATGAAGAGTAAATGTATTTTCTCTTATGATGATTTTTTAAATGACATTTTCTTTTCTCTAGCTTACTTTATAAAATATGCATTAATTGAATGTTTATATTGTCAGCAAGGCTTCCTGTCAACAGTAGGTGATTAGTAGTTACATTTTTGGGGAGTCAGAAGTTGTACATGGATTTTCAACTATGTGGAGGAGAGATTGGCACCCCTACTATCCATATTGTTCAAGGGTCAACTATATATCAACTCATTTTATCTGATTGACAGTCAGTTCTTTAGTTTTTATGCTATTCTCTTCCCTTTTAGTTCACAAATGTACTCAGGACAAAGCATTTCTCCCATATTTAGCTTGGCAATTCATACATTATTAATAGTATAATTTTTAAAATCTCTCTTTGAAAAAGATTGATTTAAATTGTGAGTTATAACCTTAAACCTTAAATATCATTAATCTTTCAGGTTTTTCAGTAAATTTACATTGATTAACATCCAATCTGTTACATTTTGATTAAAATTTACAGTCTACTCTTGGATATGTTTTTGTCCATTGTGCATGTTCTTTTGGGCTGCCTGTTAACATTAATCATGCC